TTACATGTGAACAGTGGCAGCTCCAGCCATTCATTTTTGCAGAGACAACGGCTGGTGGTTGCACAATGTGTACAGGCAGCATTTACAGCCCTGGCCAATAGTTTTGACACGAATATTAATTTACCTGCCAGGAAACACGTGCAGTTATCATTGCTTTGCACAAAAAAGGGATTCACAGGCAAGGATATTGCTGCTTCTAAGATTGCACCTAAATCAACCATTTATGGGTCATCAAGAACTTCAAGGAGAGAGGTCCAATTGTTGTGAAGAAGGCTTCAGGGCCTCCAAGAAAGTCCAGCAAGCTCCAGGACCATCTCCTAAAGTTGATTCAGCTGCTGGATCGGGACATCACCAGTGCAGAGCTTGCTCAGGAGTGCATCTGTACGCTCAGTGAGGTGAAGACTTTTGGAGGATGGCCTGGTTTCAAGAAGGGTAGTAAAGAAGGTACTTTTCTCCAGGAAAAACATCAAGGACAGACTGATATTCTGCAAAAGGTACAGGGATTGGACTGCTGAGGACTGGGGTAATGTCATTTTCTGTGACGAATCCCCTTTCCGATCCGGAAAAAAAAAAACCTTGTCCGGAGAAGAAAAGGTGAGCACTACCATCAGTCCTGTGTCATGCCAACAGTGAAGCATCCTGAGACCATTCATGTGTGGGGTTGCTTCTCAACCAAGGGGTTGGGCTCACTCACAATTCTGCCTAAGAACACAGCCATGAATAAAGAATTGTACAAAAACATCCTCCAAGAGCAACGTCTCCCAACCATCCAACAGTTTGGTGACGAACAATGCCTTTTTAGCATGATGGAGCACCTTGCCGTAAGGCAAAAGTGATAACTAAGTGACTTGGGGAACAAAACATCAACATTTTGGGTCCATGGCCAGGAAATTCCCCAGACCTTAATCCCATTGAGAAGTTGTGGTCAGTCCTCAAGAGGCGGGTAAACAAAAAAAAACCCCCACAAACTCCAAGCATTGATTATGCAAGAATGGGCTTCCTTCAGTCAGGATGTGGCCCAGAATTTGATTGACAGCATGCCAAGACAAATTGCAGAGGTCTTGAAAAAAGAAAGGTCAACTCTTTGCATAAACTTCATGTCATTGTCAATAAAAGCCTTTGACACTTATGAAATGCTTGGAATTATACTTCAGTATACCATACCATATCTGACAAAAAGATCTTACAAACACTGAAGCAGCAGACTTTGTGAAAATATTATTTGTGTCATTCTTTAAGCTTTTGACCAGGGCTGTAGTGCTGCCACCAAGAATCTGTTGATTCTCACCAGCAGCTGCCCCTATGCACCTGTGTGAATGTACAGTGAATGTCTTTTGAAGTCTGACAGCTGCCGTCTAGTTAACAACCTAAACCCATATATCGGGGTTGATTTACTAAAACTGGAGAGTGCAGAATCTGGTGCAGCTCTGCATGGTAGCCAACCAGCTTCTAACTTCAGCTTGTTCAATTAATCACTTTAAAACCACGCTATAGCCTAATGATGGCTACAGTGCGGTTGTCCAGTTCTGGGAGGGCGTCATATGACATCCTCCCAAACCGCGCCCCCAGCGGTGTGCCCCCGGCGCTGTCAGTGATCGCTGTGTCTTACGGACACAACTGATTACATGACCAGGTAAAAGACCAATCACATCGGCCTTTTACCACGTGATCAGCTGTGTCCAATGACACAGCAGAACACAAAGTAAATACAGTTACCAGTTATCGGCAGCACTTTCCTCACGCTGTCACAGAGCACAAATGTCACAGAGCACACCCGCACTGATAATCAGGGCACTGATTCAATGCCTTGATCAGCAGTGACACCCACGAGTGCCCAGCAGTGACACGTATCAGTGCTGCCCAGCAGTGCCATCAGTCAGTACCACCTGTCAGTGGCCATCATTGCTGCATATCAGTGTAGCATCATCAGTGCCCATCAGTGCTGCCTATTCGTGCCACCTCATCAGTGCATCCTCATCAGTGCACATCACTGAAGGAGAAAAATTACCTGTTTGCAAAATTTTATAATAGAAAACAAAGAAAAACTTTTTAAAAATTATTTTGTTTATAGTGCAAAAAATAAAAACCCCAGTGGCGATTAAATACCACCAAAAGAAAGCTCTATTTGTGTGAAAAAAAATGATAAAACTTTCATATTGGTATAATGTTGCATGACCGCGCAATTGTCATTCAAAGTGCAACAGCACTGAAAGCTGAAAATTGGCCTGGGCATGAAGGGGGTAAAAGTGCCCAACAGGCAAGTGGTTAAGCCTTGGCAAAAAAAAAAAGGGTAAGCTGATTGGTTTCTGTGCAGAGCTGCAGCAGATTTTGCACCATGCAGTTTTAGTAAATTAGCCCGATTGTCTTCCAGCTCCCAAGTGCACATAGTTAGTGCCTGTAGTTTTCCACAGTCTTGTTTTCTGTTATCTTGTTATGTGCTGAGCTGTGATAATGCTTTATCCTGTAATCAGCTGCTAATCTAAACATGGGGAGTTTGGAGAATAATAACTCAGGGAGTGGGGGGGAATAATAAACATGGGGGATGGGAAGGAACAATGATCACTGAGGGTGAGGGAATTATTAACAGGTGGGGGGGGGGAATGATGAACACGGATGATGTGGAGGAATAACTTAGGTTGAGGGAATAATAACTGGGAAAGGGGGGGCTGATATTCAACACTGAGGTCGAGGAAATGGTGATTGTGGGAATGGGGGGTTATAATGAGTATGGGGGTCAAGAGAATAATGAACCAGGTGGGGGGAGGAATTATGAACATGAGGGGTGAGGGGAATTATGAACACGGTGTTGAGGTAAGAATGAACGGGGGTGGTCAGAAGAATAATAAACATGTAGGTTGGGGGAACAATGAAGAAACGGTCTGAAGAATAATGAACAGAGGGGGGCTGGAGGAATAATGAATAAGCAGGGTCAGAGGATTAATGAACACATGGATGGAGTAATAAAAAACACAGGGGTTGGGGGAATAATGAACATGGGTGGTGGGGGAATAATGAACATGGGGGGGGGTGGGGAATAATGAACATGGGGGGTAGGGGAGAACAAACATGGGGGGTGGGGGAATAATGAACATGGGGGGTGGGGGGAATTATGAACACAGGGTTGGGGGAATAATGAACAAGCAGGGTCAGAGGATTAATAAACCGTGGATTGGGTAATAATAAACACGGGTTGGGGTTATAATGAACATTGGGAATAATAAATGTGGAGGAAAATGAACACGGGGTTGGGGGGTATAATGAACATGGGGGGGAATAATAAATGTGGGGGGTATAATGAACATAGGGGATGGGGGGAATAATAAATGTGGGGGGTTGGGGGGAAATGAACATGGGAGGTCGGGGTATAATGAACATGGGGAATGAGGGGATAATAAACATGGGGGGTTGGGGGAATAATGAACTTGGGGGATAATAAACATGGGGAGCACAGTGGCTAAATGGCTAGCACCTCCGTCTGGCAGTACTCGGGGCGTTGGTTCGAATCCCAGCCACAGCACCACCTGCCTGGAGTTTGCATGTTCTCCCTGTGCCTGCGTGGGTTTCCTCCGGGTACTCCGGTTTCCTCCCACACTCCAAACACATGCTGGTAGGTTAATTGGATCCTGTCTAAATTGTCCCTAGTATGTATGAATGTGAGCTAGGGACCTTAGATTGTACACCCCTTGAGGGTTAGAGACTGATGTGAATGTACAATATATATGTAAAGCGCTGCATAAATTGACAGTGCTATATAAGATGGGGGATAATGAACATGGGGGGTTGGGGAAAATGAAAATGGGAGTTCGGGGTATAATGAACACGGGGAATGAGGGGATAATAAACATGGGGGGTTGGGGGGAATAATGAACACAGGTATAATGAACTTGGGGAATAATAAACATGGGGGGTTGGGGGAAAATGAACACGGGTATAATGAACTTGGGGAATAATAAACTTGGGGGGAAAATGAACATGGGAGTTTGGGGTATAATGAACATGGGGAATGAGGGGATAATAAACATGGGGGGTTGGGGGAATAATGAACACAGGTATAATGAACTTGGGGGGGTTGGGGGAAAATGAACATGGGAGTTTGGGGTATAATGAATATGGGGGATGGGGGGATAATAAACATGGGAGTCTGGGGTATAATGAACATGGGGAATGAGGGGATAATAAATATGGGGGGTTGGGGGAATAATGAACACGAGTATAATGAACTTGGGGGAAAATGAACACGGGGTTCAGGGTATAATGAACATGGGGGGTTGGGGGAAATGAACACGGAGTTTGGGGTATAATGAACATGGGGAATGAGGGGATAATAAATATGGGGGGTTGGGGGAATAATGAACACGAGTATAATGAACTTGGGGGAAAATGAACACGGGGTTCAGGGTATAATGAACATGGGGGGTTGGGGGAAATGAACACGGAGTTTGGGGTATAATGAACATGGGGAATGAGGGGATAATAAATATGGGGGGTTGGGGGGAATAATGAACACGAGTATAATGAACTTGGGGGAAAATGAACACGGGGTTCAGGGTATAATGAACATGGGGGGGGTTGGGGGAAATGAACACGGAGTTTGGGGTATAATGAACATGGGGAATGAGGGGATAATAAATATGGGGGGTTGGGGGAATAATGAACACGAGTATAATGAAAACTTGGGGGGTTGGGGGAAAATGAACACGGGGTTCAGGGTATAATGAACATGGGGGGGTTGGGGGAAATGAACACAGGGGGTTTGGGGTATAATGAACATGGGGGATGGGGTGAACATAAGCATGGGAGTTTGGGGTATAATGAACATGGGGAATGAGGGAATAATAAACATGGGGGGTTGGGGGAAATGAACATGGGAGTTTGGGGTATAATGAACATGGGAATGAGGGGATAATAAACATGGGGGGGTTGGGGGAATAATGAACACGGGGTGGGGAAATCATCTGAGCGAGTCCCCGGCTCCGTCAGTCATGTGATTTGTGTTCTCACAGAGGCTACGTGAGGTGACCAGTGGCTCGGAGTTCCTCAGGCTCCAGGTGGAGAGCGGAGGCTGTTCTGGGTTCCAGTATAAGTTCTCCTTGGACACAGACATGACAGAGGAGGACAGGTGAGGCGACACGCAGGGGTCCTGGAAACAGACAGTATTGTGTGGCCACTACATGTTCCAGTAACATACTACTCTCTCTTGACAGGGTGTTTGGCATGGACGGGGCCCATGTTGTGGTGGACACTGGGAGCCTCCAGCTGGTGAAAGGCAGCACCATTGAATATTGTGAAGAGTTAATCCGAAGTTCCTTCCAGCTGACAAAGAACCCTCAGGCCTCCCAAGGCTGCTCATGTGGAGTATCCTTCTCTATCAAGCTGTGACATTCTGGGAGGAGGGGGTGCACAGGCTGTTCTCCAGGACTCTGCAGGTCCCTGATTACCCATATGTGTATTTATTACCTCTTTGTAAATAAACTTCTGATGTGTACAGACTCGGCTTCATGCCAGCTCAGTCCGGCTCTCCAGGTGAAGTGTCAGCGATTGTGCAATGCCGCAGGGGGAACTGCTGTCACACTTATCTGTTGTGCAATAAAAGTGCTCAGCAGACAAACACTTCACTTCGGAATGTGATGACTCTTCATCTCCTGACTCTCTACTCCCAGGGAGGGGGATATTGTTTGTCCTTATTTACATCTGGCTGATTGGAGGGAAATATTCTGTGCATCCATCTGGACTCCTGAATTGAGTCATGTGACACATGAGATTTCTCTTCCTACCTGGAAACAATTCCAAATTAAAACACAGCTTTTTAACATAGTTACATAGTAAGGCTCAATAAAGACACCAGTCCATCCAGAACAACCTGAGAGTGTGTGTGTGTCACTACCATTTTCCATATCCTGTATATTGTGTTCACTAAAAAACATCTAAAAGGTTTTTGAACATATCTACACTCTCCATTGACACCACCAAATGTGGACCTTTCGCATCTTTACTGCCCTAACAGTAAAGAACACCTTTACAGCACATGCTGTTATTGTACCATGTCTAGTGATGGGAAGGCCTGGAAAAAAAAAGACAGAAAAATTGGGGGGAAAAAAACTTTTCCTAAAGCCATTTTTGTTTTCTAGAAAAATTGAAAAACAATTAGTGTCAAATATGTTCTTTTAAAATGAAAGAAAATATATATATCCATGACATAGTATTCAAACTATACGACATGAAGACCTAACGAAAGATTTCTGAGGCTCAGCTGAAGACAAGCAAATTCTGTAATACAATTCAAGTAACACTACTTTCTCAATGCATTCTCAGACAAGAGCAATATGTATTTCTGCCACTAGGGGGAACTCCAAATTTAGTTTGCTTCTGGGCTCCGTCTTGTACCTCCCACAGTTGGGTGATTGTTGGGATACAGTAAATGATAGTTTCTGTCCTCCTCTCAGGCCTTAACTGACAGGGAAGAGGGTAAATTTGACAAATTAGTTTATATTGATAACCTTTAAAACATCTTACTAATGTTCTCACAGTGTGGCATCACTCAGGAGGGACGAGAGAGGAGGGCGGGTGGGGATCAGCATACCAGATATGATCCAGGAGCTTTCCTGAGCTACTCTGCATGAGGAAAACCCCTACAGACTCCTGTATTGTGCCCTCCAGCACTGCTTCCTCCTGTATAGTGCTGTGCTCTACTGAGCCCCTGTACTGTTTCCTCCTGGCCCCCCATACTGTTTCTCTTCCTTGCCTCCCTATACTGTTCTCTCCTGGCCCCCCCATACTATTCCCTCCTGCCCCCTCCCCCCTGGGCCCCCCATACTGTTTCTTCCTTGCCTCCCTATACTGTTCTCTCCTGGCCCCCCCATACTATTCCCTCCTGCCCCCCTCCCCCCCGGGCAGTTGTCTCCTGGCCTCCCTGTACTGTTTTCTCCTGCCACCCCCCCCCCCCCCCCCCCATACTGTTCATTCCTGGATTTCCCATACTGTTCTCTCCTGGCCCCATGTACTCTTCCGTCATGCCCCCCCCCATCCCCACCCTGTACAGTTCGCTCCTGCCCCCCCCCCCCTCCCCATACTGGTTATTCTTGGATTTCCCATACTGTTCTCTCCTGGCCCCCCATCCCCACCCTGTACAGTTTGCTCCTGCCCCTCCCCCTCCCCTCCATACTGTTCATTCCTGGATTTCCCATACTGTTCTCTCCTGGCCCCCTGTGCTCTTCCCTCCTGTCCCCACCCTGTGCAGTTCTCTCCTGCCCCCCCTATACTGTTCCTTCCTGGCCCCCCTATACTGTTCATTCCTGGATTTCCCATACTGTTCTCTCATGGCCCCCTATACTCTTCCCTCCGGCCCCCCCCCATCCCCACCCTGTACAGTTTGCTCCTGCCCCCCCCCCCCCCAATACTGTTCATTCCTGGATTTCCCATACTGTTCTCTCCTGGCCCCCTGTGCTTTTCCCTCCTGTCCCTACCCCGTGCAGTTCTCTCCTGGCCTCCCTGTACAGTTCTCTCCTGCCCCCCCCCCCCTATACTGTTCCTTCCTGGACCCCCTATACTGTTCATTCCTGGATTTCCCATACTGTTCTATCCTGGCCCCTGTACTCTTCCCTCCTGCCTCCCCATCCCTTGTCCTCTCTGGTGAATGGAAAGGCTTTATCCTCGTTGTCCTCTCTGGTGAATGGAAATGCTAAGTCCTGTCTCAGATGAGTGGATAGGCTATATTCTCAGCTGAGTCTCTCTGGCGAATGGACAGACTGCATTCTAAGTGCGGTCTATGGTAAATAGATAGGCTGCATCCTTGGGCCCCATCACATCTGGCGATTTGGGATCGCCGCAATTCTGCCCACCATTCCAATTCGCACTGTAGTAGTGGCAAAATGCACCACACAAGTTTGGGTACCATTCATTTTTAATGGCACCCAATCCTGGTGTGGTCTTGCTGTGATTTTTGTGCAGTAACCGCAACAAACCACATTACAAGTACTTTGTTGCCCAAAAGAAGCTCCTACTCCTTTTTGGGAGACAAGCGTCTCGTGATGGGGTTTACCACGACTGACAATTGTAAGAAAACTATACCGCATTTATGTGCCATTAAAAGTGAATGGCACCAAAACATGCGTGGTGCGTTTTGCCACTATTGCAGTGCAATTTGGAATCATGGGCATAAGTGCGACAATCATAGGACTTTAAATGGGACTAAATTGCACCACTTTGAAATCACATTTGGTGTGAACCAGGGCTTGTACATATTTTTTTTTTTTTTAAAGGAAACTTTTTGAAGAACCCTCGTAAAAAACTACGTGGAAAGTTGTCATTTTGTTTGTAACATTCCAGGAGCTGAACATCAGGCCGATTACAATGAGTATGTGACTGGCTCAGTTTTCTCATTATCACAGTTACTATGAATTACATTTTATTTATTTGCTGGTCGCAAAAATGAACCCATGCATTTCCTACACCCCGTGTACTTCTCATGTGTGGGATAGGCTGTTGCTAACCTCATATGCAGCATACAATGTTGCTGAGATCTCTTTGCAGATGGTCTCTGTAGTTGTACAACATGATGACTTTTCTTTTTAATTGTAGCAACAAGTCATCAGACTTTCTGTTTCATCTTCCAACTTGTGCCACAAGCAGGAAAACAGAATCTTATTGGTTGTTCTCAACATCAGACATTTCCCACCAAAGGGAAGTTGCTGGATTGGTTGGACGATCATGTGAATAATATGGTGCTTACAAGGCAGAACCAGCAACATTCTCTTCATATCATAACAATTGTTCTAATAGGAGAGGCCTCCATACTCCACCTAACCTGTGCTGTCTTGCCCTTTCCACTGCACAGCCTTTCACGATGTTGCCACTTCCTCTGCCCAGCTTTGCACCATCCAGCTACTTCCTGTGCCCCATGCAGCCACTTCCCCTGCCCAGCCATGCACCATCCCAGAGCTTCTTTTGACCAGCCTTGCATCATCCTGACGCTTCCGCTGCCCAGCCATGCCCCTTGCAGCCACTTCCCCTGCCCAGCATTGCACTATTGTGGCACTCCTTCTGACCAGCCTTGCACCATCCCATCCTGACGCTTCCACTGCCCAGCCATGCCCTTTCCAGCCGCTTCCCCTGCCTGGCATTGCACTATTGTGGCGCTCCTTCTGACCAGCCTTGCACCATCCCATCCTGACGCTTCCACTGCCCAGCCATGCCCCATCCAGCTACTTCCCCTGCCCGGCATTGCACTATTGTGGCACTCCTTCTGACCAGCCTTGCACCATCCCATCCTGACGCTTCCACTGCCCAGCCATGCCCCATCCAGCTACTTCCCCTGTCCAGCATTGCACTATTGTGGCGCTTCTTCTGACCAGCCTTGCACCATCTCATCCTGCCACTTTCCCCTGCCTCTATAGCTCCCTTCTCTTGGGTCTAACATTGCTGTTCCTCAGTACAGACTGACTCACAAATGTTTCTAGAATGAAAGGAGGATGATGATACCCAGTGCTATGTGATCTGTGCCCCTCCCCAATAGCTGGAGGAGTACCCCTATCAGGCAGATGGGCACAGTGTCAGCACAAACTGAGGGCACAGACAGATCTTGGATGAGTTAATCTAGTTTGGGGTTTTTGTTTAGTAATCCTGGTCCTCCAATACCCCCAAAAGCTGGATTTATCTGACACAAGGTCCATATTCTCGCAAAGGGAAGTCCTGTCAACCAGACTGGCCTGGCAAGGACTTGTTGGGAGGTGCAGTGTGGTGCAGGTAGTAAATACACAGAGTCCAGTTGTAGTAAAACTTGGAACTTGAATAAAATGCCAACGTTACAAACATCCTGTCAGGAGAAAGCTCCTCTAGGGAAACAGAGTTCAATGCAGTAGGTGTGGCCGAGGAGAGGTGCCGACAGCATCTGTTGCAGTGGGAGACATTCAGCCTGGCTTGTCCGGTCCCAATAGGGGAGATGCCTTCCAAATAAACAAGTCCTTGCCCTTTCCCCCCCTCATCAGGAACCTTTCTTTACCGCTAGTTGCTCTCCCTAGCAAGCAGGGTCTCTCTCCCTACACTAGCCATTCGCAGAAATGCGCGCCAAAACCCTGGATCAGGGACTTACAGTGGGGCAAAAATGTATTTAGTCAGCCACCAATTGTGCAAGTTCTCCCACTTAAAAAGATGAGAGAGGCCTGTAATTGGCATGATAGGTAGACCTCAACTATGAGAGACAAAATGAGAAAAAAAATCCAGACAATCACATTGGCTGATTTGGAAAGAATTTATTTGCAAATTATGGTGGAAAATAAGTATTTGGTCAATATCAAAAGTTCGCTCAATACTTTGTTATATATCCTTTGTTGGCAATGATAGAGGTCAAACGTTTCCTGTAAGTCTTAACAAGGTTGGCACAC